ACATTATGTGAGAATGCTTTTATATGACAAATAATAATAAAAACTTCCGTTCTTACATAATGCATACCACATGGTTGGATTCTAACTACCTATAAAATACAATCAACAAGATAAAGCACTATAAGATACGATCAATTATCAAAACACTAAAGAACACAAACAAAAAACCCCTGAATATTAGCATTAATTATCAAAAGAGAAAAAAAAAGAACAAGACATGTTTTATTATCATCCCAACCTGAATAGTTCAACATATCAAAATTATCTCAGATTCTAACAGAATCTTCTCAAATAGTTCAACATATCAAAATTATCTCATTTACATAAAAACCTTCTCTTTTTGACATTATATCAAACACTTGGAAGACATGTTTTATTATCATCCAATTAAAGTATCAAACCAAGAAAACATCTTTCTCTTTTCCAAAGAAATCAAACCAATCACATACTTATGTTCAAAATTTAAGTGCTTAATAGAAATCACTAGTACACATGTCATTTAATAGTGTGAATGATTGTTATTTTTTAATGCGATCCCTTCCAAAAACCGTCTTATTAAATATCTACGGCATAAAAAAATAAAAAAAATCGTACTATAAAATAGCTTTGTTAGTGCAGTTTCCCAAAATCGCACCATTAAAGCATTTTCTGATGCGGTTTCCCGAAACAGCACCAAAAAATCATATGGAAACCGCCCCAAAAAACAATTATGACCGCACCAAAAATAATTATAACTAAAAACCATTTAACCGCACCACAAAACATTTCGCACTAAAAATTTTCTAAACCGCACCATTAATCTTTTTTTTAAAAATTTCTTTCGAATTTTTCATTTCGCGCTAAATTTTGTTCAAAATTTTCATGTTTTTCAAAATTTTCATTCAATCTTCCCTCTTTTATATAATGTTGGAGATATAATCTCTTCTCATAATTATAGATTTGTCGAGTTCATGCTTGAAAACGAATGTGAGGTATGTCTATTATTTATCTTTTTTTCATTAATGACATTTGTGACTCCATTTTTCTCTTAATAATTGTAAATGGATGTCCTATTTTAAGTTTTAACAATGTTTTCTTGTTCTGAATCTCTACAGATGCCTCTTCTTCGGTAATATGAGTGTGTTTGGCACGGAGCTTTTAGAAGCGTTTGGGAGCTTCTAACTTTTAGTTTTTGATAAAACGCTCTAGTTTAAACAAAAAGCTTCGTTTGACAGTACGAGTGTTTAGCTTTTAGTTTTAACAAAACGCTCCAATTCTAAAAACTACTTCATGTAACGTTTAACAAAACGCTCTTGAGCTTTTGAAATCAATTTCCATAATTACCCTTAAAAATATGTTTATATATTTATTATTTTTAATCACTTGTCATTTTATGTAATTTTATATATTTCAAAAGCTTCCAGCTACTTTTGACAAACATTTATATAACAAATAAAAACTACAGTTTCCTGCTACCAGCTACTTGTTACACGCTATCAGCTAACCGCTACCCGTTCCAGCTAACATCTATTTTTTCCAGACACGCCCTATATCTCCAAAAAAGGATCCAAATACTTATGATGTTTGCTTCGGTGACTTTCATTCAATAGGTATGGAGCTAGTTTTTGCATAGTGGGTTTTAAGATGTTGAAAAGGAAATTGAAAACAACATCAATGAAATGTGATTTCCCAAGAACAGATTTTTAATTGATAGAGAAAAAGAGATTACAGAGATTGAAACCACCATTTTTGAAGAAAAAGAAATTACGATTAAACCTTTGATTGAAAAACACTCACCGAACATACCTAAATACAAAAAAAATGAAGCTTCATAAATAGCGTGGTGTGCAATGGCGAACGTGTTAATTGGTGCGATTTTAGCTAGCTATTTTTTTGAGGCGGTTTTGGTTATTTTCTGGTGCGATTTTGGCTAGTTTTGAGGCGGTTTTGACTATTTTTTAGTGTGATTTTGACTATTTTTTGAAGTGGTTTTGGCTATTTTTGGGTGTTGTTTTGGAACCGCACCATATAAGGGTATTTTTTATACAATATTTTTTGGTGTGCTTCAATGTCCATATCGATTAATCATTTTAACCGCATCAATAGTTGTGTAATAATGAATCAAAAAGTGCGCCTTTGTAAAATTGTGACAGAATGGAAAGTTCTCCAATGAACTAATAAAAGGAACCCACACGAAGATTCATTCTTAACTGTTGAGTGTCAACTGCTAAGAATACATAACATAATAAAATTTAAGATTCAAAATAGCACCCCTAAAGGAACTGCAAAAGCATAAATATTTATTAGAGAAATACAATATAATTTATGAGTTTAAATACATAATTAATTCTTGAATTGTATATGCTCTTAATTTGTTATGAGTTCAAATATGCATTTCACACTATCTTATATGTAATTCACCCGCATAATTCGTAAGACGCACAAAAAGAAGTTCCATTTTTTGGTAAATAATCATAACAGAAAGTTCTCACTCAGAAATGGGTAGTTTTGGACTTAATCAAATACCACTAGATCTTCGATTAATTATACTCAATCAAACCACAAATAAAAATTCCCGCGTTAACAAGAAAAATAAGTTTATTTTTGTAATTCAAAATTATAAATTGACGAGAAAGATCAACAACGCACAATTGATTTAGCTGAAATTTACCAACTGAGAATAATTAGATGGTGGAGGAGCTCTGCGTCGCCGGATCGACAGTAGAAATGCTTTGCTTCGGCAACGTCACCATTTATCAAAAGAGGGAAATGATAGTGACCGATGAAGGGGATCGTTCCCGTTTTTTGGCCGTCGATAGAATGAGGAGTTATATGGCCGGCGTTTTTTAGAAGCAGAAATGGAGAAATTGATGTCAATGGTTGTAAAGGGAAAGATGAGGTTAACTTATTTATTTTGTTTTCTTAATTGCATAGATTTAATTAAATGATCCCATTAATTGCAAGTGTAGAAAATCGAAAATACCTTTTTTGTTTTAATTAATTTTTTAATTAGTTGTTAATTTCTGATTAAAACATTTAGAAAGACAATAGTTGTTTGAATTATTTAAATTAATCCCTCTTTCTCTCTCTCACACACACATACACACACACTCTCTCTCTCTTTCTTTCTTTCTTTCTCTCTCTCTCTCTCTCTCTCTCTCTTAATATATATATATATATATATATATATATATATATATATATATATGTATGGTTAGGTTCAAAGGTGGATTGATATTTATTATGAGGATGTGTGAACAATGTTATTCTAGTGGTAATGCAAATAAGTATATAAAATAAAATTGTAAAATGTAAATTGTGAAAGATATATCTATGATATTGTGGAAACTAATGATTAACATGTAAAAATATGAATAATGACTTGATAGGGTAAGATACATTTTGAAATGTACACATTTAATTCTTATTATTTTTTTTTTTTGTAAAATAAATCTTTATACTTTATTAATATGTACACATTAGGTCATTTTCACCGGATTTTATAGGTTTTGCTGACATGGAAGAGTTTATCTTACCCTATCAAGTCATTTTCCCTTTCTTTTATTTTGTTGAAATGAAATACCCAGCTGGCATCCATATATCCACTACGAGATTTTTCCAACTTTTATTCATCATGAAAAAGAGGGAGAACCCCGATCTCCAACAACTCCTTTGTGTGTTCCTACACATCACTGGTAGCAAAGAGGAATGATGGCAAAAACAACAAGGTTGATGGGAGAGACAGGAGGAAGTAGAGACGGTAGTTGGCGGCGATGAGCTGTTCTGGTAGCCACCTCGTCGATTTTTTTCTTCTTTTTCTGGCAACATATCTCAAAGATGGAGGCAAAGAGAGACATATCGGAGAAACACAACATGTAAAGGGTGTTTGACTGTTGCTGTTCGACCGGAAGGAAGAGAGACAAGAAAGAGAAGGGTCGCCGTCCTTTTCTTGTTGCTGGAGGATCACCCACCTCCGGTGACTAACCTAATTAATTACTATTTAGTGTCACTTGTGCTGCCACATCAGCAAAACCTGTAGAATCCGGTGAAAAAGACCTAATGTGTACATATTAATAAAGTATAAGAGTTTATTTTACAAAAAAAAAAAAAAAAAGAGAGAATAAGGACTAGATGTGTACAATTCAAAAAGTATCTTACCCTATCAAGTCATTTTTCCTAAAAGAAAATTCGTATATGACCGGTGTACCGGGTATAACCGATCACAATGATTGCATTGTTACAAAAAATAAAGTATAAGAGTTTATTTTACAAAAAAAAAAAAATAAATAAATAAATAAATAAACACTAAATATGTATATTTCAAAAAGTGTCTTATCCTATCAAATCATTTTCGGTAAAAATATTGTGCTATATTTTTTTCCTACCTTTTTCTATTCATATTAAATGGTCATAAATGAATTAAGATATAATTAATTTTATTAAATACGATATATTTGCATTTGTTATTGGTATTAGATGAATATACAAATAATATAGAGAAGTTGGCCTAAAGCCCCTTGTGTAATTTCTGGTAAAACAAAATAGAGAAGAAGTTGGTCTAAAGCCCCTTTTTTACAAAACAAATAAAAACTGCCCCATTTTGTCAAATCTTTTTTGAAAATAGAAACACCCCATTTTTACATATATCTCCTTGATATTAGTTAAAACATAACCCTTTTTTTAATAGCAGGCAAATTAAAGAATCCATTGTTGAAAAAAGGTTAGATTAGTCAAATGCAAGTCGACTAACACCGTATCCACTTAATAATTCCGAACAAGTAGGGTCATAATTTTAGAACTGTTGGTTCACACTGGAAACCTAAAAGGTAAGGTACTTTTTTGTCCACATCCTTTTACTTTGAGTGAATGCACACACGTCATCCACATACACTTGGAAAGGACAAGAAAGCAGTAGATAAAATCACACACTATATAGTCCATGAACGTCACAACCACTCTAACCATATCGCTAGCTTCTCTTCAAAGCACTCAAAATACATAATTATCAACACAATCTTGTTATGGCTCCTGACAGAGATACCCTATTTGCTTCCTACAATCATGTTAAAAGTACTCCAAGCAATTTCCAAAAGCCTTCAAGGTTGTCAATGGATACCCTACAAAGAACAATATCCGACATATCCTTTGAGCTTAGCAAAGAAGTTGATGCTGTTGCTGATGAGTTGACGCTTCCCCCAATTTCAGAAGTTGAAGATGCGAAGTGTGAGTGTTGTGGGATGTCTGAGGAGTGTACCCCAGAGTACATTGCCCGAGTGCGGGAGAAGTTTTTGGGAAAGTTGATTTGTGGGTTGTGCTCAGAGGCTGTGAAAGAAGAGATGGAGAAAAGTGGAGGGAAGATAGAGGAGGCATTGAATGAACACACGAGGGTTTGTGTGAGATTTAACCGGTTTGACAGGACGAATCCAGTGTTGTTCCAAGCTGCGGCTATGAAGGAGATGCTGAAGAAGAGTTCAAGGTTTGATGGAAGTAGAGCCAAATCTCTTAGCCCTAGAGATCATAAGAGAGGTTATGGTAATGCAAACAAGGGTGGCCTTACTCGGAGTTCAAGTTGCATACCTTCCATTACAAAGGAGATGAGTGACAGAAAGTTTGTCAATTGAGTACCCTAATATGTGTCCAGTATTCTAATTGTGATCCTTTTGATACCAAGGCCAAACAAAAATCCCTTAAGTTGTCCTTTCTCATTTCTCCTTTCTCCTTAGTCTTCATCAATATACAAACCTTTTTAGGGTTCAGTCTTAATGGTTCCCCAAGTGATCTCTATTATTCCTTCTCGTTCCACCTGAAAATTTTATCCTTAGAGCTCTTCCTAGATTTGTGTATATCATGATGTCTTTTGAAAACCTCTGTTACGTACTGTACATATTGTAAGCTTCCTCCTTTAGATGGAGCTTGAATAACTAAACTCTCTTATTAGGATATTTAAAGGTCCATATATAGCCTTTCCAGGTAAGACAGAAATCAATCCCTGATGTCTGATGTGAGAACCTATGTATGTCATGTTACGTACTTACCTTCATTGCGTTTATGTGTTCATGAATGTATATTAATGACTTTCTTTTTCTCTTGAAGAACTAATACATTTGTATCTTGTCAGCAAGGGTAAATTAAATTCAAGTTAACGACTTGTAAGGATAATGAACTTTGTCCTTGTATATATGTAGTAACTAATTTATTATTATTGTTTTTTTTTTTGTGCAATTTACCAGTGAAATTTTTTAGTGTTTATAACATACGATATGACCGGCTCTAGTATACGTTTTCCCGTTTCCAACGAGTTTCTCCAGCCAAACATGAATTTTCCAGCAACCATAAAGATCTTGTTGATATTCTTAAACCAAAAAAATCATTCTTGTTCTTGAACCTATGAAGGGGATGCAGGTTGCTAAATCTGGTTATTAAGAACAAACTCAGGAAAGGGGATATGGGTTGACGTTAATATATTGTGGTGAACGTTTTGAATCAAGATTTTTTAAGGGAATGAACACGATGAACACACACCTGCAAATCAATTTCTGAGTTTTTTGCAGCTCTATTTTTGAGTTTTTTAATGCTAGATCCATTTTTTGAAGGGGATGAACACGAACTCAAAAATCATATTGAACCCATATCTTCTACTTATTCATCAATCATAGCTACATCAACCCTACAACTTTTACTTTTGTCTAAGTTTATCTCAACTCTAGAACCATGGTGAAAGTTTTTAGAACCTCGAAAATCCCATAATATTTTCACTCGACCATTCTATGTTAAATATGACTTTCTCTGCGTTTTTTTTTTTTTTTTTTTTTTTCAAAATAACACAATCTTCACAACCAATACAAACACCATGAACCAGATCATGCAACATATAGATCGTCCATTCCAGAATGAAGTGCTAGCAATGAGGAGAAGAGATTGCGTTCCCCAAGATCCGGCAACGGAACCGTTTTTAACCTTGATGTTAATGAGTTTGAATCATATTTTATGATTCATTTTTCCAACCCCTGCGCTATAAAAATATGTCATTTATAAAAAAATAACTAAAAATCTAAAAAAAATGTCACTGAAGATTTAGAAAAGTTCTTATTAAAACTTTTTAGTGACCATTTTTGTTTTTACAGAGTTTTTAATAACACTTTTTTATTTGTCATAACAGAAAAAAGTTTTGGTGGCACATATTTTGTCCCATTAAAAGCAAATTTGATTCAAGAATCCATGCTATATTTAGTTACACGTTTGAAGATTTTAGGGACACTATCTTATTTGTCACAAAACATAAAAATGTTTTGTGGCACTTTTTGCGACGAGAAATACTTATGAGTTTTGTAGTTTAGGCTACTTATATCTGGATAATTTTTATATATAATATAAAACAAAATTAAAAAGAAAAATTAGATTAACTAAAAAATAATATTATTTACTTTCGTACACAATTTATTGTAATAAAATACTTACCATTAATATTTGGTTTGTGTATTCATTTATCTGTATTTATTTATCTGGAAGTGCTAGTGAACATAGTAATGAATCTAAAAAAATGAAAAGAGTTTTAGTGGTAAATAAACATATAGTATAATCAATACTCTTATATAATACAACTTATTAATTATTTGCAGAGAATACTAAGAAACATATAGTATAATCAATACCCTTATATAATACAACTTATTAATTATTTGCAGAGAATACTAAGTCGCATGAAAAATTGGAACATGACAAAATGTAATATTTAAAGATGGCATATACCATAAAAAAGAAAATTATACCCTTTTTCCAAAAGCAAACACATTTGCAAGAATCTCACAATAATAATTAGGAAAACATTAATATAAGTCTTACAGAGGCATATGTGTTGAGCCCTACAACAATAGCAAAAACTGAACCAAACGAGAGTCAATGAAGATTACATTGGAATCTTTAATTATCATGTTTCTTTGGGGATAAAATTGACAAATACAGTGAAGATGAGTACCTCTTTTGTGTAACATGACATTTCTAAAAGCTGTGAATCGGGACTCCTTTATGAAAGTCAGCAGGAATGATCGGTTTATGTATAGATAAACAAAATAGTTAATATGTTGCATGGACTTATCGTGTTACATTTCCGGAAATCATGAATATATGACATTCATATAACATGCACCATGTTAAAGAAAATAGTACAAACTCAAAGATAATATATATCAATCTTATTTTGAATCCTCTAACTTAAACAATCAATAAGCAGAAAAGAGAAGATTTTATAATTTGGAATCTTGAAATAAGTAATAACATATTAATTTCAAGAAATGAATTTGAGTTACCATTTTGTATCGCAAGGTATGTTTGGACTCTTTTGGAGAGCATGTAGTTCATTGCAAGCAATTCACAGGTTTCAAATACATGAAGGATATGGTTAGGGATGTTTTGGTTGACATATTAAAACGTGTCGGGGTTTCTGCCAAGAAAGAGACTCCTATGAATTTCTTCAGTGACCCAATAAAAAGAAGGTCAACCCTTAAACCGGCTGGCGTCTTGATTTTTGGATGACTTGGAGGGTAATACACATGTGTAGACCTTACATAGGTATTCCCTCTCGTGTGCTTGAGGGTTGGGGGTTACATGATGGTATAAGCTGCATTAAAAGCTACTACATACAAGGTCACCAAACATGAGAAATCATGAATGGAAATCAATATGTATTTATACCATTTACATTTGATACGTTTGGTTTCCTTATGTCAGATGAGGTGGAGCTTCTTAATAAAGTAAAATGGATAATGCATAGCAATGTTATATCCCCCAGATTTATGGATGTAGTCTTCAAAAGAATTGACTTTACCGTATAAAAAGGATTAGCGGCGCAACTTGTTGCACGTTTGTCTTCTCATTTGTTGTACGTTGATAAATAAGTTTTATAATTTTCCAAAAAAAAACTAGACATATTATTAAAAAGTTTAAATATAAATTATTGTAGGTAAGGTCAAAGGCGTATCTCGTGCCAAGAGGAGGGTGGTCAAGGATTTAATGTGGTTTATGGTAGAAATTGAATCGTGAAGTGAAAAGACAATAGATTTTATGGGATGATTAAGAAATTTGTTAGTTGTAACATTGTCGAGAAGTTTCTTATTTCGAGATTGTGGACAATAAATGAATCAAGTAAAGACCTTGGGCTTCAAGGTAATAGGCTCATTAGAGTGTTCTTGGTGTATCTTAGAGAAGAAGGATCTCATTAGAGATGTGTTGGTTGCATTAGAGCTTATAGATGTAGACTTTGTTCACATTGATCTTTCTTCTAAAGGTATAAATTTTTAATATTGATAATGTATTTGATAGATCTAGCTACTCATGGGTGTTATGAGCTTTTGGTTAGTTTAGTGCATAAGGTTTTGATCGTGAAAGTTTGTGACCTTATTATGGATAAAGTTGAAAACTTTATCTATCTACACATCATACCAAATCAGATATGAAGGTTGAAGAGTTAAACTTAATTGATTAAGTTGAAAAAGATGCACTTTTGGTCCGTTTGAGACTTAAAGACTAGATCTTGGTTGTCCGGACAATTCTAATGGATAAAGTTTGAAAATTTATCCATTATGGAGTTACTAGGAACCATAAAAATGTGATCTTGGTCCTTCTATTCCGTCCATGCATGAGTTGGTGGTCTTTTGTTGAAGTTAATGATTTAGGGCTTTGGTTTGGGCACCATTAATCCATGAAAAGTCATAAAGTCAGGAAATTTATGACTTGGGACGTCCCATAAGAATCAGATCTGGAAGTTATGCATGTTGTCTTAAGGCATTAACAGGTTTGAAGATGATATTGGGCTTTAGCGTCGTACGTAGCGCGTACCAGGTTGGTACACCGGGTGTACGCACTTGAATAACTTTTGGGCCATTTTTGGACCTTGAGTAATTTTGGATTTGGGCCATGCTTTGTTGGGCCAAGCACAAGAAGGGTAAAATAGTATTTTATCCATTGTTATGAGGATATATGAATTGGACCTTGAGTTATAGGAAAGTCGTAAATAACATCTCTTGTGCTCGTTACTGGAGCCTTATTTTTACAGTTTGCCTATAAAAGAGAAGAGATTGATGTTCCAGATGATGTCTAAAAGGCTGAATTTACTTTATATCAGCATCCGAAGACAGTGGAGGATAATCCAAATGTGTTTCCTTCGATTTCCTGAATCCCTGATGCTATGATTCGCAAGGTTGATCCTACTTATCCCGTTGTTGTATCTTATTTACAAACTATTAATACTTCGATTGGACTGGCGTCCTGTTAGCAAAGGGTGAAAAAGTCAAACGAAGCAAACCTTGGAAGAAATATTAAAAAGTTAGTCCTTCGAAGACTATTCCTGAGTCTACTCCTAAGAAGGTTTTGAAGAAAGATTCTACGGTTCGTGATTCTATTCCCAAGGAGATTTTTCAACCTGAGCCTTCTTCACATGTAGAAATTGTTTTGGCTTCGAAAACTGGGGTTCTAAAAAAGTTGAAGAAAATGGCTCACGGACCTTCTCATTTACCAGATCGTGGTCAGGTCACCAAGATCAAGAAGCCACAGTTAAATCGAAAGGGAGTCATTATTCGTGAGATTTTTGCTCTAGTGTCTCTAGCATCCAAGAAGCAAAGGGATC